GCGGCAAGTGTAGTTACTGGGATGTATAGTTCACCTACAATCAAAGAGCATTCTGAACTCCACCAATGATGGAATTGAACCAAATATGGCACACAGAACTCCCACGACAAACAGAAAATATATATCAATGATTGGTTGGGGGGGCGCCAAAATACTGTTTGCTTACCGTTGAAAATTACCTAGGGCCGCCTCTGCCAGCAGCCCCCCAAACAGTAAAAAAAAAAAAAAAGGACTCACCCAGGCTCCATCAGACGGCTGCCAGAGATCTCCTGGTGCATACAAATGACAAGCCAGAAGAAGTGGGGGCAGGAACGATTTTCTCCTGGTACATCATTTGTATGTGCCAGGAGAACTCCACCAGCCATCTGATGGAGCCCAGGTGAGTTATTTTCCTTTTTTTACTGTGTTTTTGGGGCTTCTCGTGAGGGGATTAGTATTCCCACAGTTTTCCAAGCTAATTAAGCTGCAAAAACTGTGGGAATACTGTCTGGACTGCAGTCCAGACACCGGAAGTAGTGGATTTATCCCGCACCATCCAAGAAGGCGCAGGATGTGTGGATTGCTAACAAAAACAAAAACCTGCTTCTAAAGTTTGAAGTAGCGGCTTATGGGGGAGTTACATGGTGTTAAATTCACTTTAATTATTTCATCTAGGGTCACCTTGCTATATTCACTATGGAACAAAGAAATGCTTGTGTGTTTTCAGACCTATATGCCAACCACATATAATCCTGCTGCTCTTGCTAGTTAAATTCATTGCCCTGAGGGGAATTCTAGACTTCACAGTAACAATACACTGTTTCCATCCTATTTCTTATTCATGTTATTCTATTTTTACATAACATATTCTTTAGCGCCATCACGTGTTCTGGTTTATAATCTTCCCCTCCCATATATATTTCCATTAGATGTTTAGTTACCTGTCCTATTAGGCCCAATAGTTTTATATTCCTTTCCCCCCAAAGCCACTCTCTGTGACCCTGTTAAAAAAAAAGAGATAAAGAAGCATTTTGTTTTATAGTGGTTTCCCTGAGCATCCTACAAATCTGCATGAGGTTGTAATGCAAACGGTTTCAGAAGCTTTAGACCTATGATGAAAGCAAAAGGGATGTTTGTGTTTATGAAGGAATGGAGATTACTTACTTACTTACTTACTTACTTAGGCGATCCCTTGTAGTCCGAGGATGATGGTCCTCCAAGTGTAGTGTCCTGGCGGTGGGTCTGTAGATGATTGTGGAGCCCTATTCTTGATCTGCATCTTCTCCCACAGTGAGGGCATTGGTTTCCAGGTGGAAGGCGGTCCCGGTCGGGGTTGGCTTGATGAGCTTTCCTCTTGGCACATTTCTCTCTTTTGCCCTCCATTCGTGCCTCTTCAAATTCTACAGCACTGCTGGTCACAGCTGACCTCCAACTGGAGTGCTCAAGGGCCAGGGCTTCCCGGTTCTCAGTGTCTATGCCAGAGTTTTTAAGGTTGGCTTTGAGACCATCTTTAAATCTCTTTACCTGTCTTCCTCCATTCCGTTTTCCATTCTTGAGTTCAGAATAGAGCAACTGCTTTGGGAGACAGTGGTCAGGCATCCAGACAACGTGGCCGATCCAGCAGAGTTTATGGTGGAGGACCATCGCTTCAATGCTGGTGGTCTTTGCTTCTTCCAGCACGCTGACATTTGTCCGCTTGTCTTCCCAAGAGATTTGCAGGATTTTTCAGAGGCAGCGCTGATGGAATCGTTCAAGGAGTTGCATCTGACGTCTGTAGACTGTCCACATCTCGCAGGCGTATAGCAGAGTTGGGAGGACAATTGCTTTATAAGCACCTTGGTATCCCTACGGATGTCCTGGTCCTCAAACACTCTCTGCTTCTTTCAGAATAATGCTGCACTCGCAGAGCTCAGGCGGTGTTGAATGTCAGTGTCAATGTTAACTTTTGTGGAGAGGTGGCTGCCAAGGTAGTGGAAATGGTCAATATTTTCTAATGTTACACTAGGGCTGGGCGGTTTCGTTTCGTTAATTCGTAATTCGTTAATAATTCGTTAATTTTTTCAATTACAAAACGATAACGAACCATTCTGGAGCATTTTTTTAAAAAAATGAATTTTTAAATAGTTTTGTAAATGCTTCGTATTTCGTTATTGTATTCGTTTCGTTATTGTTTTGAGGTCGTTTCATTATTATTTCCGCATGTCTGGGGCAAGTTTTATGGTTGTTTTTTGTTTAATTAGTGAAAAAAATTATAATATCACACCAACAGTCAACAACAGAGGGAGAGGGAATCTTCAGAAGTTTTTGGAGGTTTTTTAGCGTATTTCGCGGTCGCGTCCGCCATTAACGAATCGATTCGTTATTGTTTCGGAAATCGATTCGTTAATGTTTTGTATTTTTTTCACATTTACGAAATTTTCGTAAATACCGAACTTTTTTAAGGGAAATTTTTGTAATTATTTTAAATATCGAAACAAAAAAACCCCCCAAATACAAATCGATTTTAGAAACAAATTTTTCCGTTGTTACCCAGGCCTATGTTACACCATTAAGTTGTATTTCTGGCATTGGAGAGGGATTGGCTGGTGACTGCTGGAAGAGCACTTTGGCTTTCTCGATGTTTAGTGACAGATCGAGTTTCTCGTATGCTTCTGCGACGGTGATTACTGGTAGGAAATCATTCCAAGTCAGAAAAATCCCATTGCCATAAATCAGTAATTAGCCCTCTCTATTTATTTATTTATTTATTTTATTTGCTGCTGTTGCCTCCTCTTTCATCTCTTTGAGGTGAAAAAGGAGGCAAGTATTTGAGAAACTTTTGGCCTCAAGAAAATATTCCTCTTGCCTCTAAATAATATTTAAGCCAGGTAGTCTTTAAATTAATTTTAATTAATTAATTTTCTTTATTTTTGTATTGGAATTGCTTATTTTAGAGTAATTTTAATTCATATTGTGATTGTTAGTATTTCTGTTTTATTTGAAGTATCTTTTGATATGTAATCCATATTACACCTGGTGTAATATGCAGGATGGCAGGATGTCAGGATGGCATCCTGCCATCTTGCTTTCTCTGAACTCAAGCAGCCCAGTGACGAGGGGTGGCATGTACCTTGTATCTTATCATGATTTTGTTGGAGGTACAACTGTACTGTATTTTCCAGTGTATAAGATGACTAGGCATATAGGACGACCCCCAACTTTTCCAGTTAAAATATAGTTTGGCCCAATTTTATCATTGGTGAGGTTTAGAGTGCTCTTTAATTGTAGGTGAACTATAAATCGCAGCTCCCAAATGTCAAGGGCTATTTTCACCAAACTCCACCAGTGTTCACATTTGGGCCTATTAAATATTCCTGCCAAGTTTGGTTCAGATCTATCATTGTTTGAGTCAATAGTGCTCTCTGGAAGTAGGTGAACTACAACTCCACAACTCAAGGTCAATGCCCACCAAACCCTTCCAATATTTTCTGTTGGTCATGGGAGTTCAGTGTGGTTCAGTTCCATCGTTGGTGGAGTTCAGAATGCTCTTTGATTGTAGGTTAACTATAAATCTCAGCAACTACAACTCCCAAATGACAAAGTTAATCCCCCCAACCCCACCAGTGTCAGCTCACGACAGCTGGGCTCAATGATGACACGAGACTTCCATCGTAATCAAACTATCAGATACTCAGACACAGAAAAAGCCGGGATTGCCTGGTCGCAGCAGGCAACCCCTTATATACACTCCCACTTGTTCGAAAGGCAGACTCCCGCCAAACCCAGAACCCCGCGCAAAAGTTTCCCGCCACCACACAACTGCCTTCCTTCAAGGCCACCAGCTGCAGGATCCTTATCAGGGTAAGAAGTCAGGAGTCTAGTTTTCGGCGCCAAAGTCTGGGCTCCGGAAACTGGATCCTACATCATGCATATTTGGGCATATCGGATATTTGTGCCAAATTTGGTCCAGTGAATGAAAATACATCATGCATATCAGATATTTACATTACAATTCATAACAATAGCAAAATTAGAGTTATGAAGTAACAATGAAAATAATTTTATGGTTGAAGGTCACCACAACATGGCAAACTGCATTAAGAGGTCATGGCATTAAGAAGGTTGAGATCTACTGTCTTAGGGGAAGAGAAAAGAAGAACAAAGCCAGAATTTCCCAACTGTTATTTACAAATATTGTCTGTTACTTTTTTAATATTTGCCATGTACAGGGAAGAAGGCGCAGAAGTGAGGGGCCTGGTCTCAACATCACCACCTTGCTTTGGCTACTTTAATCCAAAAGTAATGTTTCCAACCTTTGTTTTAAATGTAGATTTCTCATGACATGCTCTGAATGACAGCAATAGAAACTTTGTGAGAATGATATCACATGAGGAAACAGTTGCTGTACATTTATTTTTTTAAGATTTTTTTAAGGAAAAGGCTGATACTGCAAGAACCATAATACATTTTCCAGGTTCCCCTTTCGGAAGTAAGATTGCAGGTTTGTGCATTTATAGAAATTGTTTTAAAATATTTTTCAAAATTATTTTGTGTGCAAGACAGTACTGTGAAAAGTATGCAAGCTTCAAACAGTCTTAGGAACTCATCAAATCAGGCTATTGCTCCATTGTAGTTCGCTTTCAGCACAGAGCCAGTATGGAGCCTGCCGGAGCCCATCAGCTTCGGAACCTCAATGTGATGTAGTCCTTAGTATCCTCAATAAGGAAACAGGTTCACAAGTTATTCTTGTGGGGAATCGGCCACATACAACTGCAATTCACAGGATGAAGTTTAGTGGAGCAGCACATCATGTCACTTCAAGAGAACAGAAATTTCAGACATTTCAGTGAGAATTAGCCAGGAGGCAGTGGAATCATAACCTAGATTTGTAAAATGAGATGTACTCATGTGCTCAGGAACCCAAAAGTTTGGAACAGATTGAAAAACAGAAATTGGCATGGTTGAAGAAGACAGAGAAGTGGAAGACTGTATTTTGTTCTGTGTGCAAAAATGGCTGACTCAGTTTATAAGCGATGCAGTACTTTCAGGCTGGCTTCCAAAGATCTGAGAGAGGAGCTCAAAAGCCAGGCGGATATGGATGGGGATAAACACATAAGCCGTGTAGACCACCATAGCCACCACGGTAATTATAATGCTGTTGATTACGCATTGTTCCCAGGGCAATAGGCCGTAGCAGCAGGTGACCAAGAGATACTGAAAGTACCAGAAATAAATGTAGTCTTTTGTTCGCTTCAGATCCATTGCTGACTTGGAGAGGCTTCAGGAAATCTAACCTGTTAATAGAAGACAGATAATAAAGATGCAGGAAGGAAATAACAATAATCTGTCAGAGTTAATCTTGAAGATCAAAGTTACTGGCAAGCCTGTAGCCGGGGGAGGGGGGGAGGGAAGGGGGGGAAGGGGTTCAACCCCCCCCCCCCATTTTTCAGGTTAAAAAAAAACCTGGTTTACTCATGAATTTTAACTGGTTAACCAAATCCCCATGCTAAGCCTATGAGATGCAAAAAATTAAGAATCCCTCCAGAACTGCAAGCACTATCTCAAGCAAATATTGACAATTTATTCACACTGTCATTACTTGCAGCAATAGCCGATGTAGCGAAGCAACCAAGTTGGGTCGGGAGTGTTGAATGCTCTCATTGAGGAGGCCAGACTTGGTGGAGGTGGTTGACAGGGGCGGAGCTGAAGGCTGCTCTGCCCCCTGCTGTGCTCTTTGCTTCAGCGTGACTCTACCCCCCCCCCCCAAATTTTCAACCCTCCCCGAATTGTTTTTCTGGCTACAGTCCTGGTTACTGGTATCTACGTTCTTTATAATGCAACTATATTGCCCCACTTACAAAAGACAGTTTGCAGGAAAAAAACAATGAGAAGTGTTTCATTTTGAGTTAATGTTAATCCCTAGCATCCCAGAGATACATAAACACAGATGATACAGTAGGGCAGTGAAGTGTGACTTTGTTAGGATGTTTGTTTCGAAAGTCTTCAAGTTTCTAGTCTAGCTTGCCCTTAAGATGTGAGAATGAATACGCCCCAAAGTAGCAAGTTCCACAGGTTTGCTGTTTTTAAACCAGCTGTTAGCTTCTGTAGAGCTCTGTCCATAGCTGGAAAGGGACACAAAAGAGGCCAGTTTCAAGCCATCTTGTTTGTTGTCCCTGATTCTGAGCATTTGTGTCGGCCCAGTTCTTTTGTGACATTGTGCATAAGATAAAGAAACACCAACACCTTATAGTATTATTTTTAAAAAACAGTAACTTGTTTGTTAATTTTGAAATGTGCCTAGTTAACAGTGTTGCTGTTTTGTGCCTTCAAGTCATTTCCGTCATATGGTGACGGAAAGTGTTTTCTTGTCATTCATTCAAAGGAAGTTTACTATTCTCTTCCTTTGAATGAAGGTCACCTAGTGTGTTTCCATGACCAAGTCTCCTGAACTTCACTCAAACTAGTACTACCACACTAGCGCTCCCTGTTAACATTACCTATTATTAACAGAGTAACTGATATCACTTGTTAGTAACAAGATATTTGAAGATTTTAAAATGCCCCAAAGCATCTTTTCTAACAATATTTCCACAGCATTTCGCATTCTGAAACCTCATTTTGACTGGTTTCATAATCTAAAATGCTGTAGAAATATTGTTGGAATAAATGCTTTGGGGCATTACATTTTTTTATTTTTGAAAGCATACCAAACTACAAGAGCATTGTGGGATAATGGGATTCTCTTGCATAATTTAGAAACTAGAACTCAGCTAATGAAGACAACAGTCACCCTTAAAATTAAGGGGGGGAAAGAAAAAGGAAAGCTTCTACAGTTTTTTCTTAATTCAGAATACTTTTCCTTTAGCATGGATTTCTTTGGCCTTTTAGTAATCTTTAACCTTTCTTTCCCTTTGGAATTTAAGTATGAGAAATTGTACGTGGTCTTTGTTGGAAGTTCGATCTGATGTCAAAGAAAGAGAAGAAATAGCTACACCAGCTAGCTATTATAACAATGAAATTTAAGACCATCAAAAACAGTAGTTCAGAATATTTATGCAACTCCTGTTCTGTTTTTAACCAGTCTTCATTGCTGGCATTCTTGGAGCAAGATTGATAAGATAAATTTTAAATGCTGTTGTATCACATTCCAATCAAAACCTGATATTCTTGCTCTTTTTTATGGTTATAATTATTCAGTTTAATATAGATCTATGACCTAAAGGCAAATTGTATATCTTCTATACTCCTTAGTGAACATGTTTTCATTCTTGCCAATACCCACAGCTAACAGACAAAAAAGACACAATAGTGAGATTTGTAAAACCTTTTTGTTCAGAAGAAAACATTCATCTAATAATTATTATTTATTTATACCCTGCAACCATCTCTTTGAAGGGAGTCGGGGTGGCTCACAAAAGCACTCAATAGTGCAAACACACAAAATACAACAAGTGCATAAACAGTAACACAATAGCAATAACAGATAATATAACATCATAAAACACTACCAGTAAAAATTCAATAAAATGCAACAATGGCTGCAGATATAAAAGAAACTGTAATTAATATCAGTCCCATAAAGTGCTAAGATGACACAATCACTATATCCTCAAGTATAATCATTAAAGAGCCCTAAACAAGGTCAAAGGCCTGTTTGAAGAGCCATATTTTCAGATTTATTCAAAAAGCTTGGAGAGTGTGGGCTAATCTAATCTTTCTAGGAAGAGCATTCCAAAGCAGGGGGGGGCCACCACCAGGAAGGCCCTCTCTCTCATCCCCACCAACTGCGCTTGAGACGGAGGTGGAACCAAAGGAGGGCCTCCTGGCACATCTCAGAGCCTGCACTAGTTCATAGAAGGAGATGCAGTCCCAAAGATAGGTTGAACCCAAACTATATAGGGCTTTATAGATGATAACCTGCACTTTGAAATGAGTCCAGAAACTTATTGGCAGCCAGTGGCACCGCTTTAATAGGGACATCGTGTGCTCCCTATAATTAGTCCCAGTTACTAATCTGGTATCCAACTTTTGCACTGATTGCAGTTTCTGGCCCATCTTCAAAGGCAGCCCCATGTAGAGTGCATTGCAGTAGTCCACTCTAGATGTAACTAAGGCATGGATCACCATGGCCAAGTCAGGCTTTTCGAGATACGGTCACAGCTGTTTACACAAGTTTTAACTATGTGAAGGCCCTCCTAGCCACCACCAACACCCCAAGCATCAGAGATGAATCCAGGAGAATCCCCGGACTGCAGACCTGTGTCCTCAGGGGAAGTGTAACCCCATCAAGCACAGGTTGCCACCCTATATGTCGATTGGTCTTGCAACTGACCAGGAGAACCTCTGTCTTGTCTGGATTAAGCCTCAGCTTGTTGACCCTCATCCAGTCCATCACAGCTGCCAGAGAGGTGAAAAGATCAGTGGGCTTACTGGAATGGGGAGTATAATGGAGTATAATGACACCTTATACTCCACTAGTACATTTTTAATGTTCATCAACAGGTAAATATTTTCCTAATTTTGTAAGATCTGAGGAGCTTCCTTGTAGTAGTAGAGTTGTGTGTCATCTGTGTAGATATGACACCCTACTCCAAAACTCCGGATGACTTATCTGTGGGAGAGAACTGAATCAGTGGCATTATGAACTCTCCCTTTTTAAAGATTTCTATGCAAGTGAAACTCTAGCTGGTACCTGAAATATGTCTGACCTCCATTGCACTAAAGCAAAACTTTCAGCAGTTTAGGAACACTTTTCATCATGTTTCAAATGCTTCTTCACTGGCACTGCCTCAATGTAATTCATCTTTCTCCAACTTTTGTATCAATCCTCCAGAACCACAACTAAGCACACAAATAACCATACTGTATTAGCTGCAATGAATGAAAATTGCAATGAATGAAGGATCATAGTTTGCAAAAATTGCATGAGTTATCTTCTGTCCCACTACGTGGGATTATATATTTTTGCCTTCTTTCTCTCCATCCCTTTTTTTAAAAAAAACAAACGAACTATACATGGCAAGTGGTTCAAACTGGAAGAAACTATTCACAACTCTTCAGGTGAAAATGTTAACTGGGAGTTTTGTGCAAAAACAGAAACAGATTCTGGGACAGTAAGAAGTCTTGTCCAAGGACCCTTATACATGAGCTCAGTAATAGCCCTATAATTCCACTTCATGTTCAACTTTCTGAGACTTCTCCATGTTCAGCTGCAAATAAGATGTATCCATGACAGTCAAACTGCAATTATCATTGTATAGCATAAAATGAACTGACACCCATGAGGTTGTAAAATAAGATCCAGAGACTGAGTCACTGATTTCTAGATTACAGTTTAGTTCAAGTATTGTGAAGAGGCAAAATCATTTTTTGTTTTTAACTTCAAGAAATGAAGCATTAGTACCTACCTTAATAAATCATTCTTGGATAATAGAAGGAGCAATCTACAAACCAACAATTCACCAGCTGGATTGGTAGGAGTTTCAGATTCTTTAGTTACAGCCGTTTACTCCTCTCCCTTGTTGCCCATTTATTATATAGCCTTGCTTTAATAACCTTGCCTAATTTTAATTAATGTAACTACATTTGCATGTTAATCAAAAAATAACCAACTAATTATATTGCTATACTTGTTTTATGCTGCCAAATAATGGGCAAGGAATGGATTGCTCCTCTTACCATCCAAGAATGACTTATCATTCCATATTTCAATCTCTGGATTAGTTAGGAGAAACAATCCACATACCAATCATTGTCAATGATATTTCCAACTTAAATCATCTTAAATAATTGACAATTTAGATAAGTGTTTAAGAACTTTAAATCCAACACATTGCTCATCTCTACTATGAGCAGAATGGAATACACACCAATGGTTGTTTGATTTTGTCATACCCTTTTATGGTTCCAATTTGCAGGAGATAGTCTATCTCATTCTGTACGAAAGTATCTGATGGTTGGTTTTCGAGAGAACAGAATTTTGTATTCCTAGGTAACTATCTGAATTACTCAGTGGGCTATAGCTATCTCCAACAAATCCATCTAAAACTCACTAAAACAGTCCTTGATACCAATATTGCTGTCAGTATTGGCCACGGTGGTGCACGCTCTTGTGCTCTATGTGGGGTTGGCTTTGAAGACTATTTGGAAGCTCCAAATGGTCCAACAGGCAGCAGCCAGGTTTCTAACTGGAGCAGCGTACAGGGAGCACACAACTCCCCTGTTACACCAGCTCCATTGGCTGCCAGTCTGCTACGAAGTAC